CCTATACTGCACCAGGGCGGCCCGTACTGTGATGCAATATGTGTCGGCCGCCCTGCCGAGCATGCCGGAGCAGCAGCATCCGTCGTACCTGCATCGGACGACAAAGATGTTGATCCAGGCAGTGCGTTATTTTCCCCGCTCGTAGGACAGATCTTGTATCACTGACATTACCGGCTTGTGATCGCCATGACAGATGGTGGGAGACGGTTATAGCCGCAGATGAAGTCAGGCATAGTCATAGTTTTTCTGGTCATCACAGCACATCTGATGACGATACGAATCATGATGACATTATGAAGATCAGCAGGACGATACTCATGATCCCGACGATGCTTTCCTGCAGACCTGCGCCCCTGTCCACTGTGTGGCGCTGAGCAGACAGACGGCGAGACCTCTCAGCAGCATTATTTGTTCCACATCATATATACACTTGGGACCGCTACATATATCTTTGATATCTGGCGCAGAAGCCTTCTGCACGTCGCGTCCCACTGTGCGAATCTGCGGTGGGCGGTGGGCGCTTGATCCCACCTGAGGCCTGAGACCCGGAGCGAGATTGCTGTCAGGTCAAAATCCGGCTGTTGTGAGACAACAATCGAACGGATTTTGGACCTCAGCTATCTGGACGTTGATCTGCGGGCAATCCCCTGGAAACCTGGTACACGCAATCTCCCGGGGCCCTGTGTAGGCTGCAGCTCGCGCGCACAGCGAAATATTTGGGAGGGACGTCACGGATCCACACCAGGTGAAGTGGGTGGATCGACGCGCCGATGGCTGCCGCCAGGTCAAGTGGACATCGTGAGTGGGCTCCTGCAGCCAAAACTGGTGGCTGTCACATCATCCAGCAAATATGAAAGGGTGACCCACGGGCCCTCCAGTCTTCCACGCCTTTCCCGTTCTTCCTCCCGCCACAGTCATGCCCGTCGACTCTACACGCGCAAACATTCAGGACGCCAAGTGTGTCCTCGTCGTCGGTGCCACCGCCGGCATCGGACGCGCCCTCGCGCTTGCCATCCATGACCTACCGTCCAAGCCAACCGTCATTGTCTCCGGCAGACGGCAGGAACGACTTGACGAGCTCGCCCAGAAGAGCGAGCGTATCAAGACCGCATGCATCGACCTCACGAGTGGTCGCGAGTCTCTTGCCAAGATCGTGGACGAGCTTGTCTCCACTTGCCCCGACGTGAGCACTCAAATCCCTTACGATATGTAAAATAAAATTGAGCAGTCATTCGGATTAGTTGGACGCAATAATCTTGTCGTCTGGTGTCCAGCACATCTTCAACTTTAAGGAACCTGAGAAGTTCGATCTGGATCGTAAGTTTGCAGACACTTGGCACACCCGGAAGTGTTTGACGGTTCCCTCCCAGTCTTTGAGGCAGAATACACTATCAACTATGTATCTCTTGTGACCCTGATTAAATTCCTCTTGCCTCACTTCCTTAAACTCAGCGTGAGTGCAGTCACACGGGGTTTGGGGCTGGCGTACTGCTAACAGGCCTTCGCACGTACAGGAGCAAGGACGTCCTGGCTTCATTATCCCTGTTACGTCAGGTCTCGGAATTGTCCCAGGTCCATGGGTGCCCGCATACTGCGCCGCCAAGGCTGCTATGCACTCCTTCTCCCTGTCTCTGAGCCACCAGCTCAAGGATACTACGGTGCAGGTAATGGAGATCATCCCTCCGTGAGCGAACTCTGCCTGTGAGCTTTATAATCAATGACTAAGATGTCCTATCAGTCTCACAGAGTCTGAGCTGCACGACCGTATGTCTTCGAAAACTATTCGTACTGTTGCAGCTCTCTGACCCGTCTGACAGATCAAGGAACGACACCAAAGCTCAGCAAATTCTGGATGCCCCTTGACAAGTTCACGGAAGAAACTATGACTGGGCTCTGCCGTGGAGACATCCAGATATGCCCTGGCGACGCCAAATCCAAGTGGGAGAAGTTTGAGAACGGTAAGATCGAGATGATGGGATTCAACAAGACTTAGGTACCTTAGGAGACGGTCGCTAGCCTAGCTTGATTCCGGGGTGGCTTCAACGCCTACACACGCGTATGAAACGCATGAAGTGCAGTCTGTGAGGCTTATAATCCAACCAGGTGACGCAGGTGAATTATGGAGATGACTACGGGAGCAACAGTGATAGAAAACGTCTATACCAAAGCACGACAATGAGGAACCCAGGCAATCAGAGCATGAAAGTCAAGGGGTTTTCGATGTAACCCTTGAAGGCAGCCATCCACCTCGCGCCCATAGCGCCATCGACGACGCGGTGGTCGCAGCTGAGAGTGACCTTCATATTGTTTACCACCTTGAAACCTTTCTCCTCCTCGGGCGCCGGAACCAGTGTTGGTGATGTCGTTCCAACAGCAAGAATGCAGGACTGAGGCTGGTTGATGATCGCGGTGAAGTGCGAGATGCCGTACATGCCCAAGTTGGAGATGGTGAAAGTGCCACCCTAATGTAGAAACGCGTTAAGCAACCCGCAACATAGATACAAGCTTTTGAACATACCTGGTACTCCTGTGGCTGCAGCTTGCCATCACGTGCCTTCTTCGCCAGCGCCTTGGTAGTCGACGAGATGTCAGTCAGGCCCCTCGCTCCGACATCCTTCACAATGGGCGTGATGAGACCAGTCGGGGTAGCAACGGCAACCGAAATGTCGGCCTTCTTGTATCTAAGACCAAATGTCAGCGACGCCGCAGGTGGATCTCAAAACCGACTTACTGCCGGATGATCTCGCCTAACCACGCCGAGTTGGCCTCGGGAACGTCCGCCAGCGCACATGCAGTAGCTTTGACAATGAAGTCGTTCACACTGAGCTTGGCAGACTTGTCCTTTTCGCCAAGAGTCTTGTTGAAGACCTCGCGCAACTTGAGCACCTTGTCCATGTTAATGTCAGCGGTGAGGTAGTAGTGCGGGAGCTCCTGCTTCGACTGCGTCAGACGCGAGCCAATAGTGCGACGCATGTTGGACACGGGGATGTCGACGTAATCTGGTGAGGCCGTTGCTGGCTGAGGGAAGCCAGCAGTTGGACCCGCGGCCGCGGCCGCGGAAGGTTGGTACTTCTCGACGTCCTCGCGAAGGATGCGGCCATTAGGGCCAGAGCCCTTGACCTTTGCAAGAGGAATGCCCCGCTCGAGCGCGATCTTCTTGGCAATGGGTGACGCGAAGACGCGATCACCCTGGGGAATCTCTTCCCTGGGTGAAGAGACTTCAGCGTCTTTTGAGAATTTGGCGGGGGTGGTCGGCTCAGTGCTGGTGACCTGAGGGCCCTCCGTCTTCTCCTCCTTCTTGGGTGCAGCGGGCTTGCTTTCAGAGGCAGATTCTGAAGCGAGCTTGTCTGCGCCGGAGATATCATCGCCCTCCTCACCAAGGATAGCGATAGGCGAACCCACGGCAACACCCTTCGTGCCATCCGGAGCCTACGCGAAAGGTCATTCGAGATACAAATAAGATACAGGGCGTTGTACTTGCGATGATCTTGGCGAGGATACCGTCTTCCTGGGACTCTACGTCAATGGTGGCCTTGTCCGTTTCCTGAAATGACGCGGTGAGTTACTGTGGTATGTTTGAATGGTCTTGGACGCACGATCTCAAGGAGGACATCACCCGCGGAGAACGATTCGCCCTCTTTCTTCTTCCATTGGGCAATCCCACCTTCTGTCATCGTCGGACTCATGGCGGGCATGCCGAACTTGAACAAGGCATGCTTCGATGCAGAGACGTGGAAGCCTGCGGTTCATACTGTATCAGAGACGTGTATGATGACGAGATTGAGCACGTACTCCTCTTGAGCACGCTGCGAGCGATAGCAGAGGCCATGGTAGGGGTGGGAGGACCTGGGCGAGGAAAAGAGTGAAGTCGGATGTGGACTGACACCCCAACGGCAATTTCAGGTTGAGCGCAATACGCGTCACGGCAAATCTCGATCCGCTTCTCTCCGACAACTCAATTATTACAGTATTCTCTAAAATCAGAAAATATTTATATCCGTAATTCCTCTCGCTTCATTGCAGCGCGAAATGTCGAGCAAGCTACTGCCAGGCCAGCCCATCCAGATTCCGCGCGGACCAGCACCTCAGTTGGGAGCGGGACGTACTCGCGCGATGGTCAAATCCGAGCGAGTGTAGTCGGCACACCTCAATACGAAGGATCTGTTTGTCTATTTCCCTCTGCTTCTCTGTGGCGACCTCAGTAATAGTCTCTTGTCTGGGGCTCTCGGCTCCCCAGGTGCTCTCAATATCGAAGACTCGGCCAAACCCGCCGGCCCCGAACACTGTCGTGCTCGGTACTATTACGCGTCTTTCCCCGCTGCAAGCGGTCCTCTCCATCACTGTGGTCGACGGGGTGCCGCTTCCCCCTGGCGAGGAGTTTACGGGTGTTATTCGGGTACAAGATGTCCGTGCCACTGAAAAGGACAAGGTCAAGATTGCTGACTGTTTCCGCGGCGGAGACGTCGTAAAGGGACTAGTGGTGAGCGTCCTCCTTTTGAGACACATCATATGCTGGTATCTATCTGTGAACAATGTGCAGATCTCTCTTGGTGATGCTCGTAGCTACTACGTGACGACAGCCCGAAATGACCTGGGAGTGATATTCGCTACAAGCGAAGCAGGTACGTGCTTCGTTACATCGAGTGCGAGGAGTCCTCTCACGTCGCATAAGGAGCCACTATGGAGCCTGTCTCATGGCAGGAAATGCGCTGCCCTAAGACTGGTCGGATAGAAAAGCGGAAGTGTGCAAAACCTGAGGGTCTTTGAGACCACTCACTTGCGAGCATTGTTCTGTGCCCTGGCTGCTCCCTTCGCCTTCTTGTGCTATTGTTGTCATGTGTACCTTAGCCCACGACCACGGCTCCATGTTTCACGATCCTCTGCGCAACAGCCGAGTATTTTACTCGTGCGAAAAAGGCCCTCAGCCCCATTGTGGCACCCAAAGCGCAGAGCGCTTTGAACGCCGTACATGCCTGATATGGCATATCTCGTGGCAACGTCGCGCTCGTAAATGAACCGCACAGGACTCGCACCTGCGCAATCACCCCCACTTCATTCCTCGACTCCAGGCCTTTGAAGCAGCGTCCTGGAGTCATCCCAGAATCTTTAAGATGACGGCCCTCCTTCAGTCGATGGACGCTCTTCGTCTTGGGGAGAAGATAACTGTCACTCTCGATGATCCAAAGTAGCTACTCCAGTCTCGGTCTGGCAGCATACAGTCGGCTAACACATGTCAACCATTTCAGTCATGCTCCGACGGACTGGAAAGCAAGGTATATGGAGGTTGCGGATATGCTGGCAGAGACCAGAGCCGAGCTTGATGACTTCCAGGTATCTAGTAGAGAGCTTGAGGAAGAGCTGGAGAGAGAGTTGGAACGTACGGAGAAGGCGCAGCAAGAGCTCAAGGTGAAAGCCGCCAAGGCAGAGCAGGAGAAGGATGAATGGAAGGTCGGTCGTAAGTCTCACTTTGAGGCTGCAGTTGTTCATCAAAGAGACGGCACTCTAGTCGAAGTTCATGTCGCTGCAAACCACGCACAATACGACTACCACGTCTTTGCAACGTGAGCTTGATACTATTCGCAAAGAGCATCAGCAGTTCAAGATAGAGCTTCGTGAGCTGGAGATGGGCAACGATGACCTGGAGCGGAGCGAACGTGCCATCTCATCCAGCCTCGCTGATGTCGAACAGAAATACGGGAAAGTACTCGAAGAGAAGATTCTCCTTGAACATGAGCTCCTTGATAAAGCTACTGTTGAAGAGGAATTACAGCGCCTCAAGGATGAACTTCGAGGTGCGCAAAGACTTTCTCTCGTATTCAGCCCGAAATTTAGCTGTCGTCGTAGACGCCAACGAGGAAATCAATGTATTGAAAGAGCAGCTTGCTGCGGCTCTGGACCGCGCTCCTGTAGAAATTCCTCCTTCCGTTACGCCTTCAAGGGCTTCTCAACTCCTAGAAGATGGGGAGAGCTTGTCGTCTGCGACTGTACCACCAGAATCCAATCCTACCAACTTCGCACCTTCGACTCCCACCAGGACTCTCCCACCGATCATCACTTCATTGTCTAGAACCACCGAACCACTCGTTTCGTCTTCCGGCCAAGCTACGCTCCTTCACAAGGCAGGCTTCAACCCTTCGTCTGCCAATTCCACTACGCCGTCCAACAATTCTTATTCCTCGGTTGTCCGGTCCAATATGAATGTTACATCGACCGCCATCCGCCCCCCCACCTCTCGTGCACCAACAATACGCCCGCTTACTTCTCGCAATATTTCTTCGAACAGCACATCGTCCACAACTGCCAGTACTAGAAAAGGTGTCCAGATGCTCTCCGAGATGCGCGCGCGAGTGGAAGTCCTTGGACAGAAAATCCATACTCGCGTCCCTCGCATTCGGATGGGAAGTGTTAGCCGTGGTACTGGTTTTCCTTCCCCGAAGGCAGGTCCTTCCTCGATTGCTTCGTCTTCTACGTCCAGTTCGCTACTATCGTTATCGCCGGACAAGCCACCTGCGCCAAAGCCGAAGGCGCAAAGCCTCGATCTCGACAAGAACAAAACTCCAGTAGGCAATACTTCGGGCTGGGTTCTCATCATGGAGGATTCTCCGTCACCGCTCAAAGACAAGGAGAAGCACGTCCGACGGCGCTCAGGCGGCCCGATAGCCCCGTCCTCCTACCGCGCCCTCGCTCTAACATCGGTACCCGCCGTCAGCTCCCCTCCCGAAACTCGCCCTCCGAGCGCCTCATCGCAGGGCCAGATTCCTTCAGGTGTCCGGAGGCCCCATTCGCGGACTTCAGAGGGAAGAAGCAGCGTCAGCACCAATGCCACGTCAAGTACCGTGAGTTCGATAGCGACCCCCGTTTCACGGCCAACAACACCAACATTCCTTCCTATGCCTACCAAATCTCTTCACCCCGGCGGTTTGAAGCGGCCAACGGCCTCCGCTTTGCCTTCATTACCTTCGCCGTCGGTAGGGTTCTCTTCGCCATTCTCCTCGCCATTCTCTTCGCCATCAAGGCGTTCCACTGCGCCTACACGGCCATCTGGGAAGCCTGTTCCTCCTTCTTTGATCCAAAGTCGCATAGCACGCCCTTCCCCCAACAGCCCTAGCCGGAAGCCTCAGAACCCTAATCTCGTTGACTCGGAGTTCAAGTACCGAGCACGAGCCAGCAGTGACATGCTGTTATTTGGCCGATGAACATAACGACACCCGTTCTCGACTGTACTGTGGCAAGGTTATTCTACGCCTGTAAGTTTATCTATGCCTATCTATTGAGAATTACTGACATGAATGTTGGCTGCGCAGGGACGCTGGACGCTTAGCGACTGCACCTTCAAGGATATTGATAATGACTAATGACCGAGTCCGTAATCCCCTGCCAGTTCGCTGACTGCACATTCTTTCACTTTCGCATCCGTATGCCAGTACCTCACACTCGAGCCACCTCATGACTATTGCCACATACTTATGATGATGTGTATTTTCTCTACGATAGACAACCTTCGGAGCAGGCTTAGTTTTTGAGGAGAGCTGAGAGCTCGTAGACCCCCCTTCTCGAGTCCGCCGTGGCTTGCATTATAACCCTTCCGCATACCCCCGCACTAAGTGCTAAATCCTTTACCTTATCGAGTCTTAATGCCCTCCTTCGCTGTTACATAGTCACTTGTTCGTGAGCATGTTTAGTCGATGCAGGCTACCTTTGTGGCGCTGGTATTGGACGCCCGACATATTGCTTTGTACCATCATCTTCGGTCTTCCGGCATTACCGTTTGTCGTCGCTTTCCTCCTCTCTTTCATAGCGGACTGAACACTATGGCCACGCCAAGAGCTAGTTCGAGCTCTGAGCCTTCCCGCTCCCTGAATCGCCAAGTCGTTCTCGAAGAAGATGAGTACACTGAAGCGCTGTCTCACATTATCGCACGAGATTTTTTCCCATCTCTCGTGCATCTCGATGCTACCAATGAATATCTCGATGCACTCCGCAGTGAAGACCCAGATCGGATACATGCAACCGTCCGTCGATTGGAGGACCTGTCCACGCCTCGTCTAGCACGTTACCCATACCAGACACCGGGCGAGACACCCTATGCAGCGGGTCCCTCTGAGACACCGTTGCGCACCCCTCGCGACCGCGATGAGCCTCCACTCAAGAAGCCGAAATACGACACAACCATGAGTCTGGACAGCTTCCAGGCACGCTACACGTCTGAGGACAACTCGAGTTTCACACAAATTTTGGACGACGAGAATCGGAAGCGGAGGGAGAAGTGGGCATGGGCATGGGAGGCGCAGAAGAGGGTAGAGCAGCAACGGGGCAAGATGCTTGAGGGTAGGGAGAGGTTACTAATTGAGGCGCCGGCAGGTACGGGGGTCAGGGAGAAGTTCGTCATTGAGGCACCAAGGCCGGTCGGGTTGATCACAGCTGGGTCCGACACAGATAAGGGGAAGGCGAGGGAGAAGGAAGAAGGAGGCGTAGAAGAAGATGGGGAGGGACCGCAGTTGAAGCAAGTTGCGGTGGTGAAAAAGGCTGAACAAGAGGAGGCTGTGGACGTGATGGCACCAAAGAGAGATACTCGACCGGCTGGTGTTGACGGTTGGGAATTCAAGGTACGTGTTCAAGTCTTTAGTGGCAGGTGTAAGTTCTTACGATAATTAGGCAAGGAATGCTTTGATGTTTCCCCCGGACGCAGACGAATCGCCCTATCACCCCAAGCCTCGACCGGTCACCACCGACGACAAGCCTCCACCACCTAAGATTATCAAGTACGGCAGCACGCGCCTGCCCGAACAAGATGATACACCTTCGCAGTCTATCTCCGCGCCTCCCAGCCCGACGCGTAGTCGGATAGAGGCCGCCATTGCCGGAACACCGTGTAAGCAATTCGCTATTCGTGCTGTACTAGCAATGCACCTTACGCATACTTTTATAGACCGACCTAGGTCGCCTACAGGGAATGTGGATTCTCTGGTTCCATCTATACCCTCGCCGACTCCGTCGCAACTGGGGCCTGACGCAGTCAAACAGCTCATGACATGGGGAACGCTCAACGCAACTCCGCGTGTCCTCTCACAGTCCGACGACCCAGCGGAGGCTGTGGAGATGCCTCCACCCAATGCGTTCCAAATTAAGCCGCCTTCTGCGCGAGAGCAGCTGTCGCATAAACTCTCGAATTCCGCAGCCAAGAGCCTGCGGGCGAAGGCGGAGCTACTAGGCGGTGTCCCTGGTCTGCGCACACCGTCCAGCGTCAGGAGTAATCTCTCGGTAAGGAAGGGCTCGATGCCGCCACCGTCATGGACGCCCAGGAAAGCCGAAGGAGCACTTACACCGGCTGCGCGAAGACTTCTCGATCGAACGACGATGGGTACCGCGGCCTCACGGCGTGCGGACGCTATGAACAGGGCGTCGGGCTGGGAGGGTAGCGGTTCAAAGGCCAGGGAGCAAGACTTGAATCGCGTACGATGGACACCGACACCGAGTCCAGTCAGTAGGAGAGGAGGGTGAACTAGCGCAGTGTGCACATGGGCATCCTTGTCATGGACACAATATAGTACAAGTGAAAAGGAGAACTCGCTATGACCCAGGTTCTGAAATTCGTCGTCGTTTCGCTTGAGGTAGATTGCTATCGTCGCCACCTGGACTTCGCTCTCCCCTAGTCTGACTCCTGGCGGCTGTCTCTGACTTCTCGTCCTTGTCGGTTTGAGACTGCATGATAGAAGCTGAAGGCGCCGACGGCTTCGTTGGTTTCTTCTTGACAAGCACTCCTTTGAGAGATTTCTTAGTGTCCTTCTTGACAGCTGGCGCAGCCGGCTTGGTTTTAGGCGGTGGTGGGGCAACGTCGGTTATGACAGGCGGAGGTTTTGCAGCATTCTCGCGTGCAGCAACCGCCCTGTAGTAAATTAGCTGCGTAATCCAGGCTCCTCGCGAAAACAAGGCGCACTCTCGGAAGTTTTTCAGCTCCTCCCCTTCCAACTCCTTGCGCAGCCGCTCCTCTTCATGTTGCTTTTCGAGAATAGAATCCAGGAAGAGCACCTCATCTTCCTCGAGGGCACGGAACTGATTGCCTACCAAGCATGGTGGCATAAGCGGGACAAATGACATGCGCTGGTTGCACTAACCTAGCTTGTTGCGCTCCTCCCACTCCTCTTGTTTGGCTGCCTGACTTGCATAAGCGTCACGGATGAAACCATGAGGACAAATCCCTCACTCTGTTAGCGGCAAGTTTCTATGAACTGTCAGCCAAGCTCCGGTTATCTCAGATAATGGAAGGCATACTTCAGCCAGACTTCGGCCATCGAAGACATCTTCTGTGGGTTCGGGAGGGGGCTCCTGACCCAGTCTGAGATTGGTTTATTATCTTTGAACGATGTGCCCGAACCCTGCCCGATATACGCACCTGGCATAGGCAGCTTTCCACTGCTCCTGACGTCTCGCCTTTGCCGTGTCCAAATCCGACTGAGACACGAAGCGCGAGCCGACGCCTGCTGTAGACAGCGAGGGGATAGTGTCGTCCATGTTTGTGTAGAATGAGAGGCTAAGTTGAGCGTAAAGAGCAGCGTGGGGAACGCTCCAAATTCACGCTCGCGCAAGAACGCCGCCGAACGCGCCGAACTTAGCCCAGCTCGGGCAGCCGAAAAGCAAATCATATACCCCCAGGACCTGCTCAAGCAGACCCACGTCGCTCCTTTTATTCCACCTCCCACCTCGTCGTCGCGCACCCCTCGGGCATGGCGGCCAATGCCAGCGACGTCGTCTCCCCCCTGTCCGCAGCATCGGCCGCTACATTCCCCAGGTCAAAGTCTACTATCCGTGGCTACCGCGCAAACCAGTCAACCGTCAGAACCGTCGTAACCTCTCCTCGTAAGTAGTGCGCAGCTGCTGCCACCCTTGTATTTCCGCGGCTGACTTGCTCCGCCCAGCGTGGGCTAGAGACGAGCCTCCATCTCCCAGAGACGAACATTCGCCCGGCACAAGTAGAGACCCGCAAGCGACCGATGACCGCCCCCCTGCCCACAGGCCTTCCGATGTTACATCTTATACTTCATCGGTATATGACGATAGCATGGCCGGTCCTTCCCGCTGGTGGGCATTCACGAGACATCGCCCAGAGGATTCTGCAGGCCAATCGCTCACGGCAAACGCTGCCCGACACGGCATGAGCAGACACAGAGACCGGTCATACTCCGTATCCTGGCTGGCTGCCTCACTGTCGCGACGACCCCAAGATGGCGAACCGAACAGTCACGTCAAGGACGAAGAACCGGAGCGCATAGGCACCGACTTTAGGTCCGAGGCCATGTCTGAAGATCGTCTGCATCTAGACCTTCCACCGCCGCCGCAGTCCCCAATAACCCTCGCGCAGACACGGACACCGGGTTGGGAAACGCCCTGGACTCCTAGAGCCCCCGGAGTGACCTGGGACGTTGGCGTCGGCGACAGCGAAGAGAACGGTGGGGAGAAGCTGAGCAAGTGGCAAGGGAGGAAAAAGCGGATAAGGGTGTACATGCTCACAAACACTTATGTTCCTCTGGTGGGATTGAGCACCGAACTGTGCTTGATACCATGAGCTCACATTCCTTGCTAGCTTTTCCGGCTGGTCAACATTGCCTTCACAACCTCTGCACTTGCGATTGCGATCCACATCCGACGAAGCGAGAGCCGTGCTCACATATCTGGCGCGTTGGGATCCTCACCGTATGTCAGCCGATGTACTTTTGTGCTTATACTGACCCGTACGGCCCGTGCAGAACCCTGGTCATAATCTTTGCGCCACTTACGCTCGTGCACGTCATGATAGCTATCTACGTACGTCACGCCGTTGTCGAGAAGAATGTCCCTCGTCTAACCAAGTTCGGAATAGCTTGACTATTTCGGCCGCCCTCTTGGTCTCTGGCGTACTTCAGCCAAGCTTGCTCATACACTTGTTGAAGTCGTCTTCATTTGCGCGTGGTCAGCCGCGCTTGCACTCTCCTTCGATAATTTCTTTACTTCCAGCATACCTTGCGCTTCCCTTTCCAGCATCTCGTGGTACAATCAGCTACCGCGCCCACCGCCACCGCCTATTCCAGGGATAAACGGGTCGACTGGGATCGGAGGCGGGCTCTGCGACAATCAAATTGCGTTGATTAGCCTCGTCGGCGTCGGTTTGATCATGTACTGTTTCAACCTGGTCATCAGCCTCTACCGGATTTTCGAGAAGGTCAAGTACCACCCTATCCACCACTCGCACGGGTAGCGTTGAAGCTGGCAACCGCCCGTTAAGGGAGGTTGGCCAGGCTCGTCACGTTATTTTTCTTGGCCTCTCCATGGCCGTGGTAACTTATCATTGAGCTGCAATCTAAACAACCAAGGACATGACCAGGTTCCCCGTTCTCATCGCAGGCGTTGCTCTTACTTCTCGTCTTCCATCTTCTTCCGATTCCGGGCCCATGATACCTCGTCGTAGCACTGTATTTGTAGATGTAACATTAGACGGCAATCGCACGGCGCTGTTCTATGATTTCCGGTCTGCTGCGTCGGAGGGCGCGATATGCGGGATAGTTATTTTCTGACGAGCTGTAATGCAGTAGCCCGCAGTGCCAAGCGAGCTGTACGCCGAGGGTGAGTACTACGGAGGAAGAAGAGTAGTCCGTCCATTACGCGGGAATAGCTAGCCGTGTCGTCAACCTGTGTAAGGACGCGTGAGTGACTGTGTCTATGCGGCTCACGAAGTAAAGAACCTCGTAATAGCCCGCGGCCCCGCCGGGCCAGGATCTACGAGGGGCGAGGGGGGGGGACGTGGCTATATGAATCAAAGAAGCCACTTACGCACTTGGACACTGCAATATGCGTGGCTGAAGGTGTGGGATCTGCAGCATCTCTTCTCACTCCGCCGCGCCAAGCCAGCGAAACGCCTTGCACGCCCTTTCTGGCGGCAGATCGGACGTTGCGTAAGTGCCGCATGCTTGTCGGACAGAAGCACATAGGTTCTTCCTGGTTTTCCTACGACGGGCTACGGTGACCACGGTGACCTCGGGCGGGATGTCTGTGACCAGAGCGAAGAGCCCGAGACAGCGTCCCGCCATTCTAGAAGGAACACCAAGCACGGTCGTTTGGGAGAGGCACCGCCAGGGCCGAACACGGGTAACGACGAGTTCCCGGTCGACATGGGCCTGACGGCTGCAACTCCGAGCGGCACAACCACAGATGTCAGAGCGGAGAGGTCAGTGTGCGCGCTCCGCGTTGTCCACAGCGCGCGATGTCGGCCACGGGTTGCCACGGGGCGTGACGCTCTGGGGCTTGGACGTCAGAGGCGTCCCGACGGCCCAGAGGCCAGCCCGCCGTCGATGTCGGACAAGGTTCAGCAATCTGCCTTTGTCTGGTAAGGGACCCTGAAGAAGCGCTGTCTGAAGGATCAGCATCACCACGAGTATCTGCCCAGATACAGCCTGCACAAGGTGTATGTTGATATCGATGCATGTTGCTGCACTGCATACGTCGGTGGGTGACAATTCAGCAGCTCGACGGATCAGACTTTGTGGAGTAACGGAAAGCACACCATCCGAGACTGCGGCGGCGAACCGCTCGAAATGAGTTCTGCCAGGCGAATGAAGAATGATTATGATTGCCTGGTCACCCTCGAGGCAGTAGGACGCAGCCCTGACCAGAATGCGTCTCAGGAAAATCCGTCCTGAGCGGATCCTTGCTGGATATGAGCCTAGGAACATGCATGTGGGGTCTGTTACCATCAGTGGAAATCTACTTTGCGAGTTGCTCGGAGGGAGCCAAACGCCTCAGGGCTCAGTTCCTCATGCCGCACAGCCAACGTGCGTTTATCGAGTCCCGACGCCCAAACGTCAACGGTAGGAAAGGGGAGAATTCACAGGCGAGAGAGTAGGCGACGTCACGCTGAGTTGATTCACCGGAGGGTGGGACAGAGCGGGCAAGGTACAAGGGGAGCCTCGTGCGAGCGGTAAGGCTGAAGAAGACAGGTTGGCATGAAGACTTGGTTGCATATTATTAGGATCAGGCACGGCCTTTACATACGTGACGCATCATCCGCTCGCATGAAGGAGTGAGGGAGGGCCTAAAACAAGCCTAGGAGCATAGCCGATGGCTTTGACAGCTCGTCCGACTCCGGTGTGTAGCGTCGACGAGCAAAGGTTACCCAACAGATAGGACCTCTCGATCCTGTGTCGTGAGCAGAGGCGACGGGCAGCGCAGTCGTCTCGTTCCTTGCACAGACAGCAGTCGGAAGGAAACGAGGAGACATCTGGAGGGGCGTCGGGCTGGGCGGTTGAGTTTAGCGGAGGCGGTGGCTGTTCAGATAGTGGAGCGCCCTTTTCGGAAGATTGATGCGTGGAAAACCCCGTGCAACGCCGGAGAAGAGGATAGCACAAAGTTGAGGAATTGCTTCTGCCGAGCTGTTCGGGCCATCGCTCGTCCTGCGTTGTATTTAACAGCCTTCATCTCCCAACCGGAAACCACACACCAACCGTCCCATCTCAGCCACCTCATATACCATCCTCTACTTTGACATGCATGCACAGGCGGCCTGCTCATGGGACCATCTCCCCGTCGAGATCAAGTTCTCGATCGTCGAGCTCCTCGACACCCCGCACGACGTCAAGGCCTTTTCCCGAGTAAGCAAGCAGGCTTACACCCTTGCTGTTCCCGCCCTCTGGAGGGTAAGCACCCGCTCTTCGGTGTACGACCCGACCCCGCACTAACTGCAATTTTTTGCACAGGTTGTTGATCTCACGAGCGTCGAGGCGGTGCATTCCTATCTTGGAAACGTCCCGCCATCCTACCATCGGTACATCCGCCAGCTCTCCATTTGCACCAAATTCGCCGCGACCGGCCCCGCATCCGGATCCGATGACCACACGCTCGTCTCTCAGCAGTGCTCCCAGCTCCTCAGCCAGTGCACACAGCTCGAGCAGCTCACCCTCAACCTCGCAACGTCTCTGGACCAGGCCGTGATCCCCTGCTTCAGCGCTCTCCACGCTTTGCGCGTCCTGTCTATCAACCACTGTGGTGATGAGCAGACGAACCCTCTGTAAGTGTCTTCTGGTGCAGATGCGTAGCAATCGTGGCTGACCAACGGCCGATCATCTGCAGGAGCGAGAGATTGGTTGTCTCCATTGCGGCCTCCGTGCCAAACCTTAAAGAGCTGTCCTTGGACAGGATCTCGCGGTCCGCTCTCCATGCACCCGAGCTCGTCGGTGTCTATCCCTATATTCCCGTGGTCAAGGGCGACGAGTCGATTCCCGCCCACCCTCTTTTGGGCTCGGAGCTGTCGCTTCCGTCGCTACTCCGCTTGCCCACCCTCAAAAAGCTCCGCATCCGTGATACCCACTTGGGAGACCCGAAGTGGGCTGTGACTCCCATCTGCTGTTCTCTGGAGTTCCTTGATCTTGGTAGCTGTTACCATGAGAGCCAGGACTTCAACCGCGTCTGCACGGAGCGCATCGTGGGCAACGTCGGCCAGTCTGTTGACGAGTTTTCACTCAACACTGCCATCTCTGCCGAGACGTACGCCTTCGAGAAGCCGAAGGAGACGCCCCTTAAGAAGCTCAGGAAAATCCACTTGACGCCCCTCTTCCCTGTCGAGAACGTCGTTGACACCCTCACGACGTTGTCCGGCTCTCCCGTCGAAGAGCTGTCCATCCGGTGCCACGAGGACGACGTCGCGGACATGTGTACCGCTCTCCAAGACTTCATGACCCTCTGTGACGAGCGGAAGGAGTCCGAGTTCTACAAGCGCCTCTCGAACATCAAGGTCTCCACCGTCAGCGACATCAACGACTGCGGCGTCCCCTTCGCAGGCGACGGCCAGTCCTTTCTTGCTCCATGCATAGACATCCCCGCCGACCCCTCGGTCGCCATCCCTCGCCTGCAGGAGTATTACGAGAGCATCTGCTCCAGCGACTCCTGCGGCCCTGAGTCGACCTGCTCCGCGTAAGCCGGGGTTGGTCGCCCCACTTGCGCGGGGTGGCAGAATTTACTATAATATTCTGTCGGGGTTTCTCACTATATGATTGGGGAAGGAGTCAGTTCGAGTCACAAGTTCTTGGTGGAATCCGCGCATACTAGTCCGGATGTCCATCGCCATACCCGGATACTGGACTCCCGTGTCTATTATTATTTAACTTTGTTGTATACCAGTGTACTATCATCGGGTTTCTTGCTCTTCCGAGTCCTAATGGGTTTTAGAATTATAGGGAATATTCCTAATACACGTACTCCGTACCGAACGCGTCCGACTTCGTGTGCCACAGCAGCGATAGCTGAGAGGAGTGAGTTGCCACACCAGTGGGAAGCGGAGCGGGGCTCAGAGAGAACAAGACCCTTTTGACCTACGGCAGTCCGCAGCCCAGTACTAGTCGCCTTCATCACGACGTCTGCGACCCGACCATCCCCTGCCGTGTGCACGAGGCGGCCATTAAGATTGTCCTTGTTGGGCATGGCAGATATTAAGTGGATGCGTTTCCAGCTATGCACGGCCTGGCATCCTAGGAGACCCATGTCGCTACAGCCCTCTCATGACGGTCGACGGGTGCGATACAGTCCGCCCCGGTGCAAGTCGGTGGTTCATTGAACTGTCAGAGTTGCCAAATCGGGCCTCGGGTGCGATTTGATGCTTGCTGATGGCGGTCGCCGTTCCCCGCAGGGTGCGAGCTGCTCTCGCGAGCGTAGTTCGTTGCAGACGACGCCGAGGCGGGACGTGCGTCGCCCAGAGGTATGCCCCAGTCAGTCTGCGCTCCGGAGCTTTCTGACATACGAGAACGGTGAAGATGGCTCGTCGCAGAGCAGCGAACACCGCAGAGTACGGACGTTTAGCTCAGCACCAATCATCGCATGTCGTCTGTGCACAGGCAGCTCATGGCAATGCCTATTCTGATTCCAACTTCGACAACTCTGATGGCAGTACGTCTTGTCCACGACAATGACTCTTTTCTGACTGGGATCCTGATATTCACGGCCACAACCGTCAGTCCGACGCCGAGGTCAAGCGGGGGTTCGAGGAGGCGGCACAGTTCCCAAGGACGCTTCACCAACAGGTGACTGTGCGCACGCAGCTCGGATGCAATCATGTCCGCCGAGTCCCTAACGTGCGTGGTCGATGCAATCCAGAAATCATGATATCCTGTAATCAATTTCCGCTGACTGTAGCCAGTTGCTGTACACTCAAGTGGTGTCGGCACCGCAGAAAGCTGCTCCTTGCCATTTCCTGACGCGACAGTTCCTTGTACACCTGTCACTTCGATATGGGCGGCCCTGACTACCGGATACCGCGCCACGCATCGCATACAGGCCATGACTCGAGTGTAGATCCTCTGTTGAGTACCACTTAAAAGGTTGGTTGCAGTCGCCGAGTTTTGCAGCTTTCCTCCTCTTCTAACTACCACATTACCCTCGCATGCAGCTCCGTACGCACCTGACTGTTCTCGACAAGGCTGCTGCTCTCTACTCTTCCCGTCCGGTCTTCAAGGTACCGAAGCTCGCCAAGCCTGACTCGGATGAAGTAGCGGAATGGAGCGTCATCTCCTATGCTCAGTTCCATGCTGACGTCGAGCGTTACGCAAAGTACTGGACGAAGACGCTCTCCAAGGATGGCATAGAGCGTCGGTCCGTCGTGGCATTATGGCACGTCCCTTTCACACTACGTGGCCTTGAAGGTGACTAACTCAATCTCGCAGGCTCGGTGGCATGACATATATCGACGTGTTACACATCTACGGCATCTTCAAGGCGGGCTATATACCCCAACTCTTCTCCCTGCGCTTGCCAAACCCCGATGTGGTCTCCGAACTCTTGCAGAAGGTAGGAGCGCAAGCCCTCGTCTACGACCCGTCGTATGAGTCCGCCACACCGACTTTCTCCGTCCCCGTCTACCAAGCTCTGTTCACGGAGCTACCCGATGTAGAGGACGTTGTCCTCTGCAACGATTTCATACCCACGGACGAGGACATGGCGATGGTGTTCCACACCTCTGGCTCAACCTCTGGCTCGCCGAAGCTTATCCGCTGCACGTACAAATGGCTAGACAACATCGCGGCGAAGATGTACCACACCGCCATCCCCAACGACGAGGCCCGTCAAGACGTAAGCGTGTGGATGGGGTCCATGTGCCACATCGCCCAGACCTGCACCCTCATCGGGTGGCTCCACCATGGCGCATGCGTCGTCCAGCCCACCAAGATCGCCTTTTCTTCCGACGAGCTGGTGGACATGATCACGCGTTGCGGGCTGAACCGCCTCAACCAGTTCGCCTCATTCCTCGCCGGCCATCTCAAGCGCTCGCGGCACAACACCAAGCTGCTCGCTCTCCTCCAGGGGTTGGATGAGGTCGTCTACTCCGGCTTGATGCTGACACCCGAGGAAGAGACTTGGGCGTACAAGAGCGGCATCAAGCTCAGGAACCTCTTTGGCAACACGGAGTGCGGTGCGATGCTCATCTCCATCGGCGGCGACGGTCCCGACGCGCGGTTCCTGCGCCCGATCGAGGGCACGCGCTACGGCTTTTTCCCGCTCGACTCCAACGGCGGCGCGGAGGGCCTCGCGAACGCGAACGCGCAGCTCTTCGAGCTCGTCATCCTCGCCGAGTCCAGCGACTGCCCCGACCCCGCGCTGCGCGCCGCCGACGGCCATTACCACACCGGCGACCTCTTCCAGGCCGCGGGCGCGCCCGGCAGTTGGGTCTTCCGCGGCCGCAACGACGACTGGATCAAGTCCGAGAACTCGCTCCGGTGCGACACGAAGGCGATCGAGGACAACGTGCGCGCGACGTGCGCGGACCTCGTCGCCGAGTGCATCGTCGTCGGCAACGGCCGCCCGTCGCCCGCGCTGTTCGTCGAGGCCAAGGCGGACGCGGCGGCGGCGGAGGCGCTCAAGAAGACGGTCCTCCGCCGCATCCGGCCCTTCCACTCGCGGCGGTACCTCCACGAGCGCGTCATGACGGCCGAGCTCGTCTTCGTCGTCAAGCCCGGGACGCTCCCTCGTACCGCCACCAAGGGCAACATCCGCCGGCGGGAGGTCGAGAGCGCGTTTCAGACGCAGCTGGATGAGGCTTACGGTGTTGGTCGTTAAGACTCACTAAGTGGAGTTGATACCCCGGGTTTTCTATGCTATTACCCCTTGTAATACCGCGCTTCCATCCCTGTTGAAGGACTTTGTATCTTTTAGATATCGTCTCGCATATCCTTAACACTAACAATTCCCTTTCATTTCTTCCCATTCTGGACACTTCAATAGTACTACCCCCTATGTATCCATAGAATTACGCCAAGTGCAAATATGAGCACTATATGTTTTGCACTCTCTGAGCACTTTCTACTGGGAGGATCGGTTCGTCGTCGAACAGCTCCGCGGTGGCCAATCGTTTTCTGGCATCGACGCCCGAACCCCGTTTCGCCATGTTATCGCTGCACTGGAGACACTCAGGTCTACATATCACCCTACGATACTCGTCACGAACTGGGGTCTCACTCCACTCAACAAGAACACTCCCGCCTCAGAGCACGGCCTCTACTTTCGGCAACATCTGTACCCTATGCCTCCCGGATTCGTCGAGACAACTCCTGCCGAGGGGGTGAATCAAGCACCCACGGTGTCGGAATCCCGCCAGGCCTACCCTGGGTCCTCAGCCTTCCAGGCTGAACACCCACGCGGCCAACCACGCGCTCTAGCTACCCTACCTTTGACTCACCATATCACGCTTTTGCGCTATCCCAGCCTTATCGAGCGGACAGGTCAGCAGAATACTGATGCTATATCGAGGAAAGACGATGGTCTCAATCGATTCAAAGGACTAATCAGGACTCCAGGCAACCCTACTACAGCAGAGTTTGTGTTTGCCGTGCACGACTTTGGAGTAACGTTAGAACCCGATGGTATATTTCGACGATGACTAATATCGGTATCTGCGACACCAGTCATATCTGCCTGTCTTGGTCCAAAATTTACATTTTTTGCGCGGGCTTCCTCCCATGTGTCATGCTCGACTACGAGCAGGCCCATCTCGCGATGCTGTATGTGCGGTTCGTCCCAATGATATTTCGGCAGGCTCATGATGGTCGCGGCCACCTGGGAAGAGGACCGAGGACGAAATATGTGGAGATGGCGGAGGGCCTCATCTCGCAAGTTTGCGAAGTCTGTGCCGTCCATCATATGGTCTTCCCCAACGGCGGCAAGGAGCTTCGCGTCAAGGAGTTGGCGAAGACGGCAGATATCGAACGTTTCGTCTGTATCGAGCACCATAGCGGCCTGACCCCACCCCCCTAAGTCGGAGTCCGCATGGCGTTGGGGCAAGATACACGAGACTACAGCGTTAAAGACGAGATGCGTCTTTCCGGAGCCTGAAGGGCCCTGTAGCTCAATCACGCTGCCGTGGCTGAGTAGCGGACGCGCGTTATTTCCAGAGTTAGACTCTATATTCACGTCATCTGCCGCAACTATCAAGAATTAGTGCGACTTGTTTTTTCTTTTCTTTCTTCGAGCGCGGTAGGAAAAGCAGTTGCTCACTGGCGGTTACATCTTCTCTGACAGAGAGAAGCAGCTGAAAATTCTCAAAGTAAAAATCGGGGAATTGAGGTAGACAAAGACCACGCACTGTTTGCATGTCTTCATGTTCTATTTCTGCCAAAAGACTCTGTGCTGTGACCTCCATGAGGCTGGAGAGGACAGGCCGAGGAGGAACCAAATTGGGCGTGCCCAGGGTGATGTTGATGCAAAGCACGTGGCGTCGGTATGGCGCTGGTGTCTTGGGAGGGGAGTGATGTGTGCGCCGTCGTTGTCCTGCATGACAACGGCCAGACCGTTTCGTCTTTCCTCCACGTCCGCATGAGCGTCCCCCTCCTATTTTTCTCTATTTTCCAGCAATTTTCACGAGTTTGACGAAGTGGATCCGCCTGAAACATCCTCCTCGCGCACGGCCGTCATGTCCACCGCCGCCGCCAGGCCGCCCTCGGCGCCGCTCAGACGATCGTCTCCGTCTGTCTCTTCCAACGGCGCGTCTCAGACATCATCGCTCCCGAAGGGCGCGACCGCAAAGGCCGCTGCATCTGCGCGATTATCCACCTCATTGAGCGGACCTGCGCGTAGACAGTCCGTCTCCTTGAAGGGAGCTACTCCACCGCCGCCTGCGTCTCGCGACACGCCCCGCGAGTCTCGGGAATCCCTGAGCGTATCTTTGAAGCATGAGACAGAGGAAAAGGAAAAGGTACGTCTTCTCTGGATGCTGCATCGCACTAAACGCCTTACATGCCCTCTCTATGCCGAAGCTACTCGTGCAACTACAAGACAAAGAGCAAATCATTGCAGCCCTCAGGGCCGAGAACAACAACCTGACCTCAACTTTGAATGCTGCAGAGACACGCGTTTCTGAGCTCTATGCCGACCAAAGCCGCATGGAGGAGGACCTCGCGGCGCGGATCGAAGTAATAGACAAGCTTCGAATCCAAGTCCGTGAGCTTGAGAAGGAGAAGCGTGAGACCCAGAGAAGGTACAACGAGCAGGTGCGCAAGGGTGCCTAGGCTCTTCATTCATAATCCTCACTCGCTATCAGACGGCCACGTTCGAAGCAGAGCGCCAAGCGTTCTATGACAACGAGCAGCATCTCAAGTCTCGCATACTGTCATTGAGCCAGGCTCGCAAATTGAGCAATGCAGTCCCTCCGTCCCCTTCGGCACTCTCAGTCGCCGAGTCTGAGGCAGAGCCAGAGGCCGAGCTAACGCGTTCCGAACCCCAACTCATCGTAAAGCAAGACATGTCGGACCCTCAACAAGAGCCAGCCGAGATGACAGCTCTCAAGCTCGAGTTATCCACTCTGTCGACGTCTCATGCTTCCCTCCAGTCGACAGTTCATCTCCTTCAGACCCAGCTGAATGACCTCACACGAGTCAATCGCGAGCTGCAGGAAGAGAATGAGTCTTACAACATCCTTCTCCGCGAAAAGACCCTCAATGGTCAATTCGACATCCTCAGAATGGGCGGTGTGCGCGATGATCGGCAGACGGAGAGTTCGAGCTCTGAGGAGGATGGCGACCAGGATGCGAACAGTTTCCAGAGCAGAGATACTGGTCGCAGTGTTCTTGACCCCGTCCACGAGCTCGCCGAGGAGCACGAGGAAGAAGAAACACACCATGATGAGCCAGAGCCAGAGCTGGACCCCCAGTTTGGTCAAGTCGACGAGCCTGACGCTGATGTGATTAGCGATGCGAAGAGTCCAAGGAGCAGGCACGGCCGGAGGCGGTCTTCCGTCGCTGCACCTCGCGGAGAGTCGTTGGCCAACTTGCCTATCACTGGTCCTGGCCTCGACTTAGCTGCAGAACTTGGTCGAGCTGAGAACAAGGATATCCTAGACGGCCAGAGTTCGCTAGGCGACAGGGTCGACGCCGACAACAAGGCCCGCAAGCAGAAGAAGCCCGCAGAGTCGCCTCGCAAAGGACGCCCAGCTGTGGACGGCTCTCTTGAACCTTCCGCCTCTGTTCCCGACGACATCGAGTCCCTCAGGAGTGAGGTCAAGAGTCTCAAGGACGCGAACAAGGCTCTTTCGTTGTACGCTTCGAAAATCATCGACCGAATTATCTCGCAAGAGGGTTTCGAACACGTCCTTGCCATCGACTTTGAAAAATCTCCCACTCCTTCTCAACCCACATTCGGTCCTCGTCCGCTTCCAAGCCCGCAGAAGCCCAAAGCGCGCCCGCAATCTGCGATGTTCTCCCGCTCTACCCCGTCTAGTGCGCACACGAGCCCCAACCTTCCGCCCCCAGAACGTCTTACAACGTTCGAGTCTATCAGTGCCGCTAACGCAGCTACTGCACAGAACGATCCTCCGAAGGCAGCGCGGTCAACGCGCGCGTCGAGACGATCGCTCTCTTTCGATTGGTCGACCTTTTCTTTATTTGGCGGTGGTGACAAGAGCGCGGCGAATTCCCCTACGAACTTGCGTCCATTGACTCTCAAAGCTGGCACACCGGTTGTTACCAGCGCGCGGAAACTAGACACCCATGAAGATGAGGAGGACCGCAAGGAGCGCGAGCGGTTGAATGCCACGATGAAGCTTATGGGCATTGAGAAGGTAGCTTCGCCTCCGTCCCCGCTCCCACCAATGTTGAAGAGCTTCTCCACGCCTGGAGATGCCAGTGCTTCGCCTGTAACACCCGTGGCTGCACCTGCTCCCAGCCGCTTTTCCTTCTTCCGTCGCTCATCCTCTATCAACACCCGTTCCGAGACCGCCTCCGTCAGCTCTTCGGGTGGTAATACCCGCCCCCCGTCCACCGGGCCTCATTTGACACAGGAAGTCCTCGAACAAGTTGAGGCCGAGAATACGCTCGCCGCTCTGGACGCCCACGAACGCCACCTGAGCGCCGAGATGGCGAAGGGAGCCGGCAGCGGCTTCACGGAGATCGTACGCCGCAGTGGGGACCGACGCTCCTCTCACCGCAGCGGTAGCGGTAGTACGGTATGGAGCGCGGGCATGAGTAGACATGAGGATGAAGATTAATGGTTTCGCCCTCTTAACTTCTAGACTCGTTATGGCTCTATGGGTAAGTAATCATCATGTTGTATGTACTCGGGATCGGGACTGGTGCCATGGTTGGATTCGGTCCATGTTCTCTCACTCATATGGCGTATGCATATTACGACTAGGTCTGTATCCTGTTGTGTTAACGATTGACTGATATGATCACAGTACGCATCGACATTCGGAACCCCTCGCATTGCTACACTACCATCATACAACCTGGGCTCTCTTGTATACCAGAGTAAATAATCATCTTCGCATTCTAGCATGTATACAGGCAAACTGCTCCTCGCAGAGTTACAGTTGCATGTAGTTGGATGGCTTGAAAGGATTTAGTCTAGATGTCAACGGGGCAATGCAGCGTTGTCCTCTGCGAGTGATGCATCGAAATTTC